CCATCAAAAGCCAAAACATTTATGGACCACAATGAAAACTACTGGTTCGCTAGTAATTGTGTTTATCCAATAAAGTATTATTATTATTATTATTGTGTGTCGTCAAAATATTGCTATCGTTCACAATTGTCACAATTGTGAACTGTTCGAGCTGCATATTGTTTTTTTATATTACGTGATTTAACTCTCTTACTATTGGTTTACTCCTAAACAGAGAGGAGAGGAGAGGAGAGGAGAGGAGAGGAGAGGAGAGGAGAGGAGAGGAGAGGAGAGGAGTGAACTTGTACACATGAGCGGGCTGAGGTCAAGAACCATTGCAGTAAACCAAATGATAAAAACGACAACATTGAATAAAAGCTTATTTATCTTCCAGAGGATGGTGGTTGGAGTACCTGGAGTGCATGGAGTGGATGTGGAACAGGGCTGTGTGGTGGAGGAAAGAAAGTTAGAACGCGATCCTGTACTAACCCTGAACCGTCTGGAGGCGGAAGAGAATGCGAGGGAGAATCTTTTAAACAGGAGGAATGCCCAGGTYAGGACTGGTTTGCACTTGTAAATCAAGCTCAAGCATAGGCATCATTAGATGCGCGCACCTCTCATTGCCTGCGACTCTCATTCCTCACACAAGTTGCATGCAGAAGAAGTGCACTGTTTGAATTTCGAATGTTAACTAAGCGTGAATTGAACTTACAAATTTTAACTTCAATTTTATCTTCGGATTTTCCTTTTATTATGATTATTTTTTTCCTTTTTTTTTTTAAGTTGACGGAGGCTGGGGCTCCTGGTCGCCGTGGACTCACTGCAGCAAGACATGTGGAGGTGCTGTGGTAATGAGAACGAGGGAGTGTAACAACCCTAAACCGAGATTTGGCGGCGAAAAGTGTGACGAAAATGGCGCTAAAGAARCAAAGATGGACTGCACTCATCCTTGCGAAAGTATTTCAAACAACTTAYTGAAATCAATTTATAAGGGAGTTCTAAAGTTAAGGCCCCGTCCACACATATCCGCAAATGTTTGTATCCGCAATTTTTTTTTGCGGATACGAAAATGTTCRCGTCCACACGCAGCGTATTCGAATCGTTTTTACCGTCCACACGTGTCCGTTTTCGTAGAATTTGCGGATACGGTCATAAAAATTTGAGGACACGTGTGGACGCAACCCGTATCCGTAAAAAATAAATTGCGGATACAAAAATTTCCGGATACGTGTGGACGGGGCCTAAGTGTGGCCGAGATAGTGAATAAGATAGATAAGATAATGACATCAAAGTGCAAAAATATCATTATTAAATGGTAATGGTAATAGTGATAGTATTGGTGATGGTGATGGTAATGGTTAATGATAGATACATTATAATGATGACCACGATGATGTAATACGGATCAGAACAAAAACAGGATGCATTGTTTGGGGTCTGTACCCTTCGAGGGAGGGTGAACTAGCTAGTAACCCTTTAGTGACCAACACGTCTTTAAATTAATATAAAAAACGTATTTTATCTCCCTCCAGCTGCACCACTTGATGGTCAGTGGTCTGAATGGTCCTCTTGGTCCTCATGCGCAAAGACTTGTGGAGGAGGCCTGGTTACTAGAACCCGAAAGTGTGATAATCCTGCTCCTGCGCGAGGAGGAAAGAAATGTCCTGGAGATAAGAAAGAATCTGCCATGGACTGTCTGAACTCCTGTCCAAGTAAGAACATATATATATATTATATCCACAGATGCAAGTTGATAGCTAAATTGATTTGTGCTATATGGATGTTCAATAGTGATGAAACACTGGCTTGTGTGGATGTGCCATATTTACATAAATCAGTAGTTCAGGGGCGCACCAAGGTCTCGATTACAGGGGGAAGCAATGTATTATTTTCCCGCCAAATCAACAGGAATCCCGCTTCAATTAATTAAATGTTGGTGCCGTTAGAAAATTCTTTTTATTTTTATTTTTTTGGGGGATCATGCACATTCTCAAACCACTATTCATAGTTAAAGTGCCTATCACCCTTCTGACAATATTCACAGTATTGATTCTACATGGGGTAAGATGTGGAATAACCCGAAAAATATTTCATAGTTTGAGTGCGGCTTCTTGAAATTATAAAGGTTTTTCCAGGCCTGCCCCCCTCCCCAAAATGTTGGTTCTCAGTCATAATTTTACGACGCATGCGTTTGCAATCAAACAAAACAGCGGTCATTATCGCATAGCGTTAAATAATCCCCAAAGATTTTCAGCTTCCGCCGCCCCTGATCATGTGAGTGGAGTTGCTTGTTGGTTGTCTCCGGTTCTTCGAGGAGTTTTCTCCATCCGGCGTTGACTACTTTAGTAATAGCGATTATTGAATTGCAAGATGTCATTTTTTTGTAGTCGATGGAGAGTGGGGAGACTGGGGCAAATGGTCGCAGTGCAGTACAACATGTGGACCAGGAAAGAAAACAAGAAAACGAAAATGTAACGACCCAAAACCACAATTTGGAGGTGAAAAGTGCGACGGAAGGAGGAAACAAACTGAAACCTGTAAAATAAGAAAGTGCCCAGGTGAGTCCAGCTTCATTAAAAGGAAGGATATATAAATTTAAGAAGAGAATTAAGATTTTAATGCATTTATTTCTTCACCAGATGCTGTCGATGGGAATTGGGGAGAGTGGGGAGAATGGTGTGAATGTTCAGAAAAGACGTACTGCAACAGAGGAGAGAAAGAAAGGAAACGAGAATGTAATAATCCAAAACCAAAAGGTGGAGGAAAGAAATGCCCTGGAATGAATACTGATAAAGTAGAGTGTCCTAAAGAAAAATGCTTTGGTAAGCTACTATTCCATCCATCCATCCATCCATCCATTTATTCCATTCCATTTCATTCATCCATCAAAACGTTTAGACTGTCATCTTATCCATGCATCCGTCATTTGTTTGTTTAAGTCAAATAATATATCCGTTTTTCCATTTAAAAGATGTCTTATTTTCAAAGGATTAAAAAATATATTCATTGCGGAATGGTATTCTGCCGTTATTTGCTCCTCAGCTGCCCCAGAAAATGAAGACTATTCCATCGAAGTGGATGAAGACTCTGAACTTTACTATTCGTGTGACGCAGACGAAGCTTATAGTGTCGACAAAACTAAAAACGATAAATCGATTGACCTCATTCTGAACAAGTACTTCGAAAAAATCGCCAAGTATCTCAAAAGTGGCTACTTTGCTGTCAAAAAGAAAAAGAAGCTAAAGTTTGGATTGACAAAATTTTGCTTTGAGCCCGCGGACATGATTAGTATTGGTCAGCTAAAGAAGTTGTACCCAAAGTTCCAGTCGCTCCAGTCTCCACCGTCCTTCGCGGTTCCTGCTTCTTCTTCTTCTTCTTCCTAGTATTGGTCAGCTAAAGAAGTTGTACCCAAAGTTCCAGTCGCTCCAGTCTCCACCGTCCTTCGCGGTTCCTGATGATGATAATCATGTGAATGTTATCAATGTTTGGTTGAAGGAGGATAAATCTTTGTATGGAGGTAGGTCGAAGTAAACATCCTTACACGATTATTGATTTGTATTAGGAAATACGTAGTCGCCCCTCTTGCCAAAGCGACCGTCAGGGTTTCATTACGTCCTCAGTGGTCCTTTTCCGTATCTCCGATATAGGCTAGTAATGATGAAGTGTGGAGAGACGGGACCGCCAATTAAACTGGTCATCCGAACCACTCAAAAGTCTTTCACTTTCTCCTCAGTTATTTTAAGACGCTGAGTGTTAGTCGGGCCGGGACTCGAACTATGCCCTCCAGCTCGAAAGTCTAATGATCAACCACTTTGAGCCAACCAGTTTAATTTCTAATTTTCAACTTTTATTGCGTATTGCAGGTGATTTCCTTATCGAAACGGCTGATGAGTACTCCACACCAGAATTCACTATGGATTCACCAGAATTCTACTTCCAGGTGACTCCAGATAGTCAAAGAATCTACGCAGCTGGTTTCAAAAACGTAGCTGGTAGAGAGTTCGAATTAGAGGTGACTGGTGTTGGAGATGACGAGTTTGAGGCTTCTGGAGAAACTGAAGAATCTGCACCAGCTGGTAGGTTGTAAATACCTTTAGTCGATCGGATAAACCAAGACTGTAGTGCGCATGTCAGGCTAAAGCGCATGCGCTGCTTCTCGTCGCTGTGATTATGTCTCTTAAACAGCAAAAAGGGTTGATAATTTTCAAAAATCTGAGTAACTCAAGGCAAGGATTCCCCATCGACTTACAGGATTTGTCTTTCGAAATGTAGTCGAAAACTGTAGGCTCATAAAAAGTGTTTGGAAATATCAAAAATGTTGGGGAAAGGTTTAGTTGGTACGTTATGTTTTCACTTACGCTACATACTGTTCAAGAACTTAAATTCTTCTATCGACCTGCGACCAAAAGACAAACATTCATATTTGATCATGGAATGAGGGCCACAGGTTTGTTAGCCACTGGCTATTTAAAAGTGTTACTTTTGTAAAACGAGCTAGGCTGCCTTTTTCATATCGAATATATTAATTCCCTACTTTTATGTACCTTTATGGCCTAAATTCCGGCACCATTCTTGTATTTTTAGCCAGCATTGAAGCAGCATTAGCAAAGCCGTCACTGGAAGATAACGACGACAAGAGCAAGAAAGAGCAAAAAGAAGAAGAGGAAGGGATAACAAAAGCACTAGAGGGACTTGGAGAATTTGGTGGAGACGAAGAAGAAGAGGAGGAGGAGGAGGAGGAAGAAGAAGAAGATCAACCAAATGTGTCAATTGCTATACAATCTACAAAAACACATTCCAAACAACTTTTAAGAAACTTTCGAAATGTTGACAATGTCAAAAACCCTGAGCTACAGCCTAAGAGAAGAAGTGTACGAAGTAATAATTATGGCATCGAAAGTAATTTGTCTTCAAAGTCTGAAAAACGGAAGAGGCGAAGACGACGTTATAGTTACGGCACTGAAGCCTTTTACCGCAGAGTTTCTCGAAAGAGAAAAAAGCACTTCAAACATAAGAAATCCATGAGGCTTGTATTTGCAGATTTGTTTCGTCGAGGGCGAAGCAGTGATATTCAACAAAGCAAGACAAGTTATTTAACTTCAAATCATGAATCCCGCGAGTATTACCATGGAAGCGACCACAACAACACTTCTGTTGCCATGACGAGGGACCATCAATCTATAAAAAGGAATAACAGTCAATACTATTTAGGTTTTATCAGATCGACCAAAGTTAAAAGGGAAGAGTCGTCAATAGGAAAAAGTTTCACAAACTTTTTCAAAACTGTCGACATCAAATCTTTTATTTTCTCTGCTCTCAAGAAAGCCGGTCTTGCCTTCCTTCACGTCTATAACATTTCGATGGGTGTTCACGTCAAAGATAAACAATTTGCTATCAGAATGACTGGAGAGGCGAAGCCCATCTTCTACTTTGAGTCAAGTGTTGAGTTTGAAATCGTGAAAAATGGCGTGTTTGGTGTGGGGATTACAGCTGACAATGCAGCTCTTGGAAAATTGACGCAGGCGCTGTTTAAGAAGAAGATTAATTTATTCGGAAAACTACGGGAACCTAGAGTGAGTATGACTTTAAGGAACCTGTATTACCATCCTTCTCCTTTTCCTTCAACTACTCCTTCTTTCTATTCTTTCAGTTATTCTTTCAGTTCTTCTCCTTCTCCTTCTTCTCTTTCTCCTTCTCCTTGTTGTTGTTGTTGTTGTTTTTCTTCTTTTCCTTCTCTTTCTTCTCCTTCTCCTTCTCCTTCATTGTCGTCGTCTTCATTGTCGTCGTCTTCCTTATTATCTTTTCATCATCTGATCATAATCTTCTTCTTCTTCTTAAGGCCCAGCACAGAA